ACGAGTTTCACAATTTGAGCTGAATTACTGAAATAAATGAACTTTTCCACAACATTCTAATTTATTGAGATGCACCTGTACACAGCAGTTGCGCCTGGTTTGCCGTTGGTTGGTGGTTTGCACATATGTAGACTAGTGCAGGTTAGTTTGCACACTTTAATAGTATTTATAGCTCCTAACAGGCTGTGCGACTATGAGGAATGATTACCTCAAAATGTACGTCAGTATGCAGTTTTCCCTATTGCTCAAGTGCCAGTGATTATCCCTCTGTGTGCCAATGTTGGCACACATGCCATAGGTTGCCGACCCCTGTATTAGACAGATGCCAACATTAACAGGTTAGATGATATGCCTTATTCATGAACACCATGAATAACTTTACTTTTAGATTACAATTTTGGTACTGTGTTGGGTCATTATTTGATGTGCAATGTAAAATCTTGGCTAAACTTGTTAAGAGCCACTGACCTAATTTACATTGACTGACTTTTCACTCACTTTGCCTGAAAGGCGTTATTTGTGCCACGATGGTCCAGGTCATGGCAGAAACACCCAACCATAAGAGCGAGAGTCTCTGTGTCTGTCAGCACCTCCTGGAACCCAGCAGTCTGGACCACAACAGAAAAACCTACTACTACATATCCTCCAATTCAGTGATTAAATTATGGCTTGAAAGATCATTGTTGATTAAAACTATGTGCATTTACAGCCATTACCTGAGAATATCATTACAGGCATAGTTCACCCAAAAATGAAAGTCTTGTCATCATTTACTGCCAATAACACTTGTTCCAAACTTGTATGACTTTCTTTTCTCTGTTGAACTCCGAAGGTGTTTATCTCTTCCATATGATAAAAGTGGATGTGGACAGGGGCTGTGAAGCTCCAAAAAGGCAAAAAGCACCTTAAAACCATTATAAAGGTAATCTATATGACTTGTTTGCAACATAGTCAAACAATAACTTTGTGTGAGGAACAGCCAATTCAAGCCATTATTCACAAAAAATACTGCCTTCCCTTGTGAAAAAGAAATGCCCTTTAGCATACTTGATATTTACTTTTAATTTTTATTTAATTTTAATTTGTAATGGAAATAATATACTTGAAAAAAAACACTGTCAGGATTATAGCCTGTTTTGTTTTGTTTTGTTTTGTTTTGTTTTATTTTATATGCCTTTGTTGCCTGTCTGTTTCATTGGTTCCCGTTTCTATGGTTTCTGATTAGCCTGCACCTGTTTCTGTTCTCCCTGATTACACTCCCTGTATATTTAAGCCCTGTGTTTCCTTAGTTCTGGTCCATTCTCGTCTGTGTAAAGGTGTTGTGTAATCTGTTTTCTGAGTAAGTTTTGTATTAAAGACTGTTTTTTGGATAATTTGTCTTTGTGCGCTACTTACTGCAATCCTACGTGACAGAAGAACGGACCTAAACCAAACGTGTGGCGGCATCTTTTTTTGTTTCTCCCCCCTCAATATAGATACACCAGCTGTACATCTGCTCTGTTTGGAGCAAGAGGATCACTCCCTCGAGGACCATACGAGGGAATTTTTATATCTGGCATACCTGACCCATTAACCAGACAGCTGCTGGTGTACTTTTTACTACGTTGAACTTAACAACTCAACCTAGGCTAAGTTGTCCTGGGAAGGTCCTCGTGGGGGAGCTTCGCTGCCTGAGTGGAGTGGGTGTTAGTGAACTGTGACTCGCCCTTCACCGTCTGCCCAGTGGTGGACATCGCCAGCCCCACTCCTGATCCAGAGCCCAGCCAGCCATCATCCTACTGCACGAAGCAATCGTCTGAACCCGCTCCAGACGGAGATGCAGAGCCTGCTGCGATTCACGAGTCAGCGTAAAAGGAAGCGACTGATCCTGTCATTGTCCCGGAGCCTGAACCTCACGACGCGTCTGACCAAGTGTGTGAGCCGGCAACATCGCCCGTCTCTGGGGGAGTTTTAGTGGAGTATGAGGGAATGGAGCCCTGCCCACACTCTCGCTACCGAGGGTGAGCTGTCGCTGGCCTCTGAGCCTTTTTCGAATATTCTGGAAGAATTTGATCCCCTATTTCTCCTGTCTCAACTGACCCCGCCCAGTCCGGTATCTCCTGTGTCTCTGCTGGTTCCGCCCAGCTTAGAATCTCCTGCGTCTCCTGAATATCCTGTGTCTCCTGAGTTCCTGACCAGCCTCCCTCTCCCACCTCCTCTTCCAGAATCTGCCTGGTTCCTTGGCCTCGCCTCCTCTGACTCCTATCAGTCCTTCGGCTCATTCTCAGTCTGCTCCACCCTGTTGCTGCCTTTGTCCTCAGTCGCTACGGCTCCACCGCAGTCTTCCGTGTCCCCCTCTCTGCCTCTGTTGCATGAGCCGTCAGCTCTGCCTCAGCCCTCCGGTGTCACCCTGGCTCTCTGTCTACTTGGCTCCACCTGGGTCTCCACCTCCAACAGCTCCATCTCTATCACTCGTCCCCATGGTGTCGTCAAGGGCTTCTACACCATAGCTTCTCGCTCCCTTGACTCCACCCTGGGACCTTGTCCTGGCTGGACTCTGGTTTCCCACCTGGCTCCTCCTGCTCCTGACTCCTCCCTCCATCCTAACCACCCTAGTATTTCCCGTAGTCTCCTTCCACTGGTTCCGGCTCTTCACCTGCTCCACGCCCTCCTCCAGAGCCCCCTCCCTCCCTCCTCAGTTGGTCCAGTTCCGGTGCGAGGATGCGCCTTCCAGGAGGAGGGGGGCGGGGGGCTAATGTCAGGATTATAGCCTGTTTTGGTTTTGTTTTATTTCATATGCCTTTGGTGCCTGTCTGTTTCTTTGGTTCCCGTTTCCCCCTCTAGTTAGTGTCTATGGTTTCTGATTAGCCTGCACCTCTTTCTGTTCTCCCTAATTACACTTCCTGTATATTTAAGCCCTGTGTTTCCTTAGTTCTTCTGTTCTCGTCTGTGAAAAGGTGTTGTGTGATCTGTTTTCTGAATGAGTTTGTATTGATCTTTTCAATAATTTATCTTTGTGCGCTACTTACTGCAACCCTATGTGACACATACTAACACATACAGATGCTAACTGAATGTAATGTTTTGGGCACATAAACAGTACATGCTTGGTAATTGCAATTAAATGAAAGTGCATTATAGTTCAAACTTATTAATTAAAATGATATTAGCTGAACTTTAAAGTGCTGTTTTGAACATCTTTGAAATCTTTATATGCAGTTTCCTAATTACTTCTATTGTCTTTGAAATATGGTTATTGCCGATGTACTGACAAGCATTTATGTTAAACTACAATGTTCTTGTATAAAGTAATTTCTGTTGAAACTTGTTTCCAATGTATTTAAATATATTGGTAGCACTTCATTTTACAATCCTGTTCCGCATGTACATATCATGTACTTGTAGTAATTAAAATAACTGAGTAATAACTAGGTACTAACACTAAACCTTCCCCAAAACCTAACCCATAGTTACCTTATATTATCCAGTACTTTCTTAGGTAAGTACACTGTAAGTACAGGTAAATGCACATACTGTATAATAAAGTGAAACCAATATATTTGTAATTAAACATTTGTAATAATGAAGTTGCAATTTAGTACATTTAAAATATATTAACTCTATAATATCAAATAACATATTACAGTTAAAATTATCAAGTACTTTAGTGCTTTAGTGTGTTAGTCAAAACTCAACACATCGGAATAAGTGTACTTCTTTAAAGCACAACAAAGGATTACTAATTACTAAAACATAATGATTTAAAATGTACTTTAAAGTAAAACCTTTAATTTTACAATATTACAGTGCACATAAAAGTGTACTTAAGTGTGTTAAGGAGCAGTCATGAAAGTATACTCTATTTAAGCACACTTAAGTAAAGTTTAAAAAATATATACTTTATACTTATACGATTTGAAGTACACTATTTAAAGTGTACAGTTTTCACAAGGGTTGGCAATAACGGTCACCATTCACTGTGTGGAAAAGGGCAGCTTATGTTCTACTATTTTTATGCTGCACAGAAGAAGAAAGTCATACAGGTTTTGACCAAACATTAGAGTGATTAAATGATGACTTTTCATTCATAAATGAACTAGCAAAACTCATATTTCAGGCCACTTCGATCATCATCTGTGACTTACGGTGATCATAACAAACATGCACTGCGAGACGTTGAAGGCATGCCTCCAGTTGTGATAGGCTACGGTGCGGTAGTTCTTCCTCACGGTAAGCAGCCAGCGGCACAGCACCTGAGCAGGAAAAAAAACCGCACACTATAGTATTCACACCATAGCTCCAGACCCCCCCCCCAATTGTGTTCCAGGAACCAGCCTGCAGCACAGTATCTCACCAATCCATAACCCAGCACTCCCTGCTGCACACAGCATACATATGTAAGCAGCATTTCACTCTTCCAGTCAGTTGGCTTTTCACCCATGGTGATTGCCTCACCTCATAATCAATTTTGAATTTCTGCACGACACCAAGCTCCAAAAACATCCGCAGGGAGGCAGTGATCATGGCGTCATTGTCCAGAGAAAAGTCATTAAAGTGGAGCTCATCAATCCCGAGCTCACTGCTTAGGGGAATCTTAGCAGCCTGAGAGAGGAGAGGGGACAATCTCAGCAACTCCAATAGCAAGGCAATTAAACACCAGAGCAGAGCCTGATCCACTGAGGGCTCAGACAGATAGAGTATATTACACTCTGCCATTTCAATTATTAATACTTCAACTCTCTCAAGTCTGAGACCCACCATCTATAAATTTCTAGGAAACTTTGGGGGCTAAGATGTTTTTTACACATCCATCTCTCTAATGTATGAGTTTCATTTGAAGTTTTCATCACGTCTCTCTGGAGAAAAGGTTCAAACATTCTATATGCTACTGATCTGTGAATCTTATACCAGCCTTTTAAAGGTGTGTTGTATCACATTTTGCAACACTACAGAATCTAGCTCTATACAATATGTTGTTGATATTCAATTCATATGTGACCCTGGACCACAAAACCAGTCTTAAGTCGCTTGGGTATATTTGTAGCAATAGCCAAAAATACATTGTATGGGTCAAAATTATAGATTTTTCTTTTATGCCAAAAATCATTAGGATATTAAAGGGGTCCTATTATCCAAAGTCTTGATTTTGTTTTGGGGGTGTACTAGAACATGCTCTCATGCTTGGTGGTTCGAAAAACGCATTATTTTTCACATAATTTACATTATTAAAATACCTTTCTCCCCAGGCTGGCACAAACGGCTCGATTAGTTCCGGCTTTGATGAAGGTCCACCTTCCGAAAAACAAAATGTGTTGTGATTGGTTAGCTGTCCCAGTGCGTTGTGATTGGCGAACAGCTTAGACGGTGTTTCAGTATTGCAATGCCCCCTGCTCCGTCTTTCAACAAAAGCTTTTTGGCGAATCCGGCACTGTACTGTGTCATGTTGTGGAAGCTGTCCTCAGTAAAATGCGCAGCACACAATAGCAAATTGGGGTTATAATGCTCAGGAACAGAGTTAAAAAATAAATTGCAATTATAAATAAACCCGCTTCCGGAAGCCCAAACAAAGACGTTTGGGCACGGAGGTGAAAAAAACAGCGTTTCAGGCGGTCGCGCACCGGACGAGAAGCGCAGCGTCGCGTCGCGCCACATCTTTAAAATTCAAATACATTATTTTCTATGAGTGTAGGCACACCGACGGCGCTTCGGCGTCTGTCCGCGGCGCCCAGCTACGTCGTGTTGTACTTGTAAGAATTGTTCTAGACATGCCGAAAATTTGAAGCTACAGCACAGCAGCTCTTCTTCTTCGTTTTCTCTGATGCACTAACTCTGCAGCAGCACTTCTTCGTCGTCGTCTCGTCTGATGCACTCACTCAACCAAGCGTGCTAACCACAACCTCGCCCCTCCCCACCCCCCAACCATTCCAATTTCTGTAGGCGGGAATTATTTGTAATGCTATTCTAATGAGCCTCTTTGTGATATCACAAAGCCCGGAAAACAAACGCTGTAGTCCAAACGAGCCGTTCGTTGTAGTTCTTGAAAAGGGATTTAAAAAAAAATGAAATATCTCCGTTTGAAGTGGACTTTTTAAATCTTTTTTATGCCCAAACATACACACTACACACGGACTAAAATTTAAAAAGTGAAAAAGCATAATAGGACCCCTTTAAGTAAAGATCATGTTCCATGAAGATATTTTGTGAATTTCCTACTGTAAATATATTAAAACTTAACTTTTGATTAGTAATATGCATTGTTAAGAACTTCATTTGGACAACTTTAAAGGCGATTTTCTCAATATTTTGATTTTTTTGCACCCTCAGATTCCAGATTTTCAAATAGTTGTATCTTGGCCAAATATTATCCAATCCTAACAACCATACATCAATGGAAAGCTTATTTATTCAGCTTTCAGCTTTCAGATTTTAAAAAATTGACCCTTATGACTGGTTTTGTGGTTCAGAGTCACATATGTGCTTTATTACATTACATTACATCATATTACCAAAGGATTTCTAATATTTATAAAAAGTCTAGAACTGATATTGAATAAACAAATAGTAAAATTGTAAATTACAAATTATAAAATGAGTAGTTTTACTCAAATAGTTTTTAGTAAAAAGTTGCACTTTTGCTATATTTATAGTTATAGCTTTATTGCTATGCAATATGTTTTTAAGTTTTAAATTAAGATACATGTTAAAAAATAAAGAAATAAGAAAAAAGTAATCAATAAAATAATTTTTGTTGTTCCTTGGATGCATTTTTTTATTATTAAGAAATTTACTTGAAATACACTACAATCCAAATCTTGTATGCTCGCCAAAGCTGCATTTGAAAAAAATAAAAAATAAATACAGTAAAATAGCATACAAATAATACAGTAAAATAAGTAATATTGTGAAATATTATTACAATTTAAAACTGTTTTCTATTTTAACATATTTTATCCCCTTAACTGTCACACACATTTTTCAACATAGACGTGAAAGTGCACGATCCAAACTTAAATGTTTATAATTCATGAATGAAAACATTTTGTAACATGATATTGATGTACCATTTTCATGGTAATGCAATATCTGATTTTAAAATGGTTTTCAAAGGATGAATTTTGAGATTTTAAGTTTTCAATTGATATATAATTTCTGATGATTTCTAAAGTGTGATAGAGAAAAAGGCAACAAAGAAGACTTTTTTTGACAAAGGTCAGAACTCCTGTTATGATTTAGATTTTTGAGGTGCACTCTTGTCAAAAATGAATCTATTACTTTTCCTACATAATTTTTAACAAAAACATTGGTGAAATATCTATTTAGGAGTCTTAGACCTTTCCAACGATATAAAATTTGTCATGATTAGATTAGGATTTAACTGTAATATAGTTTAGTAAACTTGAACTATACAGAGGGGACGGGTGACAGTTAAGAGGTTAAAATGTAATTTCTTCCTGTGATGGCAAAGCTGAATTTTCAGCAGCCATTCCTTCAGTATTCAGTGTCTCATGATCCTTCAAAAAATTATTCTAATATGCAGATTTGTTGCTCAAGAAACATTTCTTACTACTATGTTGAAACAGTTGTGTGGCTTTATGTTTGCGTGGAAACTGTGATACATTTTTTCAAGATTCTTTGATTAATAGAAAGTTCAAAAGAACAGTATTTGAAATAGAAATCTTTATAACATTATAAATGTGACAGTGTCTGTAATTTTTCGGTATTACTGAATAATATAAATTTTCGAAAGGTATAGAAAATATATAACTGGTCAAAAATGTTAGCGCATGTAAAACATTGTTTTACATATAAATAATGAATTTAAAACACTAGTATATTTTCAGTGCTGATGCATCTAGTTTGTATGGACTTAATTTCCATATTTTATCTTACCTTCAGTCGATCAACCTCTGCCTTGGAGCATGTAGCATGATAGGACAGCATCTGGGAAAAGACAGAAACAACAATACAATATGCACATTATGTAACCATACCACGCATGCACAATAAATTCTTTCTACTGGTCTGACAGATTTATATGCAGGCAAACAATGTAGCTGTTATGTTAATGAGCAGTTTAAAACATAAAAAGAAATTACCAATGAGAGATATTACTCACATCTAGAGCCACAGACTGCTTGGCCCAAGCCTTTTTCACCTGGTTATACATCATTGTGTTGTTAATGCCCAGACCACAGAAAATAACAAATGCCTGTGAGGATCAACGGAAATGAAAATTACTCATGCGTATGATTTATGAAAGCATCAGTAGTGTAAGTAAGTATGCATGGTATGTAAAATATTAATTGGTCATTTTATTCCAACATCAAATGTTTGAATAAAGTCACACCTCAAATAATCTTTGATCTGCATCATTAAATGTCTTCCTGTCCAAGCGATTCAGAATCTGGGCAACACCTAATGAAAGTAGGATGTTATTTTAGTTGTTGTTTTTGTGGGTTTGTATATAAGCAATTAAGCATTTGTGTGGGGAAACTCACCAATAATCTGATGTGTCCGATTCCAGATGGGGACACATAAAACTGATCTGATATGGAAACCAGAAGCCTGGTCCGCCTGAGTAAGAAACACAATGCTTGCATGATACGTGTGTGTGTTTGAGTATACTTGGGTTCATATACGTGTTTAAAGGTGATTACACCCTTGTGAAAAAGAAGTGCACTTAATTGAATTGAATGTGTACTTGCAGTGTACTTTAAATCTTAAAAGTGTACTTGCATGAATATTAGTTAAAAAAAAAGCCATTGGAGTTTAGTGAAAGAAAGTACACTTCTATGATTTCTTTACACACTTAAAAAGTGCAGTTTGTAATAATGTCAAATTAAAAGCTCTACTTTAAAATACATTTTAAATAATTGTTTTAATAATCTTTTGTCATTCTTTAAAGAAGGACAGTTATTTTGATGTGTTGACTAACAAGCTAAAGATAAAAGATGACATAAAAGTTTCAATAGAAATAACATTTTGTACATTTTAGTTTACCATAAATGTTTGCCAGTACATTCAGCAGAACACTAGCAATATTTCAAAAATAATTGAAATAGTTCAAAGTAATTAAAAGTAATTATGTTTTACTGTTATTAAGTCCTTCTGAAGTGGGTCAAAACAGCACTTTTTAGTTCAACTAATTTTATTTAATATTAATTTAAATGATAATACATTTCATTTAATTGTAAATAAACAGTGTCTGAAAACATTACAGTCAGTCTACACTTAAGTATATTATTTTAAAGTATATTTTTCCATATTATATATATGTATATTATACATAGTATATTATATTAAGTAATCTTTTAAGTATGCTCAAGTCTACTTCTTTTTCACCAGGGCACATTAGATTACTGCTGCTAGAATGTGAGAGATGTGCAGTTGGGGTTGGAACTGCACTTTCGAGCAGACCAAACGATCAAAACGAACGTGAAACCTTAGTGGGTGGTTTCTTAGTTGGGTGTGTTCTTAAAAAAGCACACTTAAGTTCAACTAATTGTATTTAATATTAATTGTATACTATAATACCTGTTCATTTAATTGTAATGCAATAAATTACAGTCAGCCTACACTTAAGTATATCATTTTAAAGCATATTTTTCCATAATAAGTACTTTTTTTTAAGTATGCTTAAGTGTACTTTTTTTTCACAAGTGCATACTATCTAGATGACTGCTGCTAGTATGCTAGTTTAGACTCAACTGGCAGCATGAGAGAGATGTGGGCTTGGAATCATACTTTGGTTTGGGCCAAGTGATCAACATGAAACTGGTCTGTGAGGGTGTGTTCTGCTCACCTCAGCATCAAAGCGGGGATCCTGACAGACGTCACTGATGTTAACAGGCAGCCCGGTTGATGCTACCAACTCAGCAATGCTGTTATTGATCAGCCAGTCCGAGCAAGACACCTTCTCCATGCTGACTTTGTCAAATGCACCCACATACACACAAACACACATACTGAGCCTGGTATACATTATTGGACATCCCTCTTACATTACATATGCTAAAAAATACACATTTAGCAGTTTGTCATAGTATTAAAAGGCCTGTTATTCTCACCTGATGTCATGATCAACGCTGCACAGTGGAGACATGAGCTCAAACGTCTGGGAGAACTTGACTACCTATGAGCACAGCAAGAGAACAACTAGATCTTTATATATCTGAAGCAAATGTGGGTAGTGTTTGCTGTAAAACATTTGCTGCTACAATGCTTGGGTCTTTTTCAGGACATTGCTTAGGTGTTCTGAGCATTTTTAGTCCATTGCTATGTACTGTAGTTGCTAGGGTTTTCTGGGTGGTTGCGATATGATTGCTTACTGGTTTCAAGATATATTGTGATATTCTGGTACCTATATGGCTATATGGCTTGGGTCCATCTTTTAAATATAAGTCTGAGGTGTATTTACAACTAGTTTTATTGTTCATCAGTCATCATAAATCTGATTGCTTATAAATGCATGAGTTGAGGTAGAAGTGTGGTTGATACATTATTTGAAAACGCACATATAATGACAATTTTAAATGAATTATGGATTTTACCAGATAATATAAAATATTAGTTAGACTGATTATCCAACAAGCAATAGGATGAACTGATATTGTAATGAACTAAAATTTAGCAATGGTAAAATTTCTGACTAATTACGGTGATTTTGTTTCTAAAACAAAGCGAACAGTTCATGTTATGCCGTACTCAACATGCAGACACTGAGCATCATCTGTATAACACTATTTTCCTTGCTTCTTATCAGGTGTGCAACAACTTCTTCTGTGATAACACTGGACTATCAAGTGCTGAAGCACGGTGCCCTCTACTGGATGAATGGTATATATAGTCAGTGACAACAATGCATGCAATACAACAGTCACCTGCAAAGAAAAAGCACAGACTGCTGTTCCTTTATAAAGTCTAGCTATATAGATCACTACAGTGCTGACTTATTTTGTAGGCCAACCCAGAAGTTAACATCACCCAGGTTCCCTTGACAAAAATCCAATAGGATTTTTCCACTGGCTTTTGGATTGTTGTAGAAAATAACAATTCTTACATGTTTTGTTCATCATGATAATCTTCACAAATGAAGTTTCAGTCTTTATTTTAAATTCTGAATGGTTTGATTTAGAATACTTTGCAGGAGCACGATTATAAATACAATGAGGCTGTAAAAGTGGACTAATGAGTAGATGGGACCTTAATGACCCAACAACCTCTTTATTCCCATTTCTCTACTTGTTAGCAACCACCTTTTTAAAAAGCTTTACAAAAATCACAAGGTGGTATTACTGATGATAGAATAATTCATCAAAATATCTTAAACCTTTGTTAACGAAACCAAAAACCCATTCAAAAAGCTATTGACTTCAGGATAATGGATCTAATTTCTGTGTTTATATGTCATCCCTGCAGTACTCTATTGTCATTATATTACAGATTCAAACATTTTTTTTTATTTGCTTTTGTTTAAAGAAAGTTCTTTAGCTTTATTTTACATAAAAGTTATAATAACAAATATAATAAATAACTTAATGAATTATACAAATGGACTATAAATGGAATAGTTACATAAAATTTGCTTTTCTCGTCTTATTTTTTTGTGTGTGTGTGACATAATTCCACTTTAAGCCCCGTGGAACTCCTAAGGTATCATTCCTGTCCATAGCACAAACGCAATGAGTTACGTGCCACATTTCAATACTTAAGTGAACGTATTACTCTAAAAACTCTAAGAATCAGCAACAGTGATGCTCTCTTTACCAAACACCAGAGAAGTGCGAGAACATTGGACATAAAGACAATTGAGAAGGCCAATGAGAGGATGCCCAGCTGAATTAGTTAAGAATGGTGGAAGGTGGAATGGATAGAGAAAGATAAGAAAACACAGAAGAATAAGGATGGACCAAATTCATGCCAGAAAAAAGAAAAAGAAGACTAAAAATCGATCTCACAGGAGAATGGATGTCTTCTAGCAGAAGCACCGAGCAGCGCTCACACTGAAGCAATGTCAGCGCACGCTGCATGATCTTTCTCACGATCTTCTCCAGGTCCGTCTGCTCCTCAAACAGATCATTCACCACCTCCAGCAGGGCCTTGAAGAACAGCAACAGCTCCAAATGTATTCAGATAACACAGGCCTTCAAGCGGATTATTAAATATTTTAAACCTTGAGACCTGAAGATTGTAAACAAGCTTACAAAATCAAGCAACACACTGTCTGAGATGTCTAGAAGTCTAGAGGCAGATTTTGAATCAGTCTGAAAAACTGGGTTTTATTCAGCAACATTTCTGCAGGTCTTGACTCACCCTGCTCCTCTCATACTCCTTGCGGGATTCGGAGAAGAGTTTGGCATTGGAGATCGATATTCCGCAGAATGGTAGATACATTTGCAGCACCTGTAGAGAGAAGTGTGATGCTTTCAAAGCTTAGGTCTGATGGATGCATGATGGTGAGATATTGAGAGGGAAAAAAACAACAGCAGAAGAACTGGAGGCATAACCAGTTCATCAGTTTATTTCTAGGGCATTTATAACAGCACAGCCTGTGTATCTGCTTTCAGCACTGCTTGGCATAAATAATTCTAAAGAGAAATTCTGTGCTATTAATTACTATCTATAGAGAGCTGTTTTGAAGCAGCGATGAAAGTGAAGGGATGAGATGTGCGGGTACAGACTGCCTAGTGCCCAGAGACTGCAGGACTGGATCTGCTGTACTGAAACTTAAGAGCTGATTCTGAGGTATGGCATTCACATGTGCTGTTTTAGCCAATGACAATGATGACCTCTGTTCTGTGAACAAGTCTGAGAAATTACTGGTAGGAAAGCAACACAGCAGGTGAATTCCAAATGGTGGTTTTGCGCCCTTGAAGGACACTTCAGGAAGGGTCGCCATTTATAGGGGTGTTCCAAATGAAAGTAAACAACCGAATCCCTTCATGAAGGGCCTATTCATCAAGGGTATATGTGAAGGTCACTTCAAAAAATAATTGTATAATTTATGGTCACGTGACCCGAGTCCTTGGATTCATTTTAAAGCTAGATAATTAGAAAATTCGAGTTAACATATAAACAGAATAATTCTAGTTGTTTTGTTTTATTGCAATATTTTACACACGTTTTCGTCATGCATTTCATCTGAAGTTTAAATATGTTTTATTTATTTTATTTATTTATTTAATCATTTAGCAGACGCTTTTATCCAAAGCCATCCAAAGTGCACACACACAGCAGTGAACACACACTGTGAACACACACCCGGAGCAGTGGGCAGCCATTTTTTGCAGTTGGGGGTTCAGTGCCTTGCTCAAGGGCACCTCAATCGTGGTATTGAAGGTGGGAGAGAGCGCTGTACATTCACTCCCCCCACCTACAATCCCTGCCGGTACGAGACTCGAACCCGCAAACTTTGGGTTACGAGTCCGACTCTCTAACCATTAGGCCTAGTCTATAATAGACTATTTTTAATGGCAGGTTCCATAGTGACAACTTACCCCAATATAGTGTAACAACATGCTCCCCTACTGGCAGGTCAACTGAATTGTTTCTCGTATGTGTAATAACGGTGGAAATGTTCAATAGCTTTTATGTGCCCAAGACCTACTATATGTGCCTACATTATTCTCAAAAATAAACCTGAGAAATATTCACTGTAAAAAATTCAAAATTGTGACTACTGGCCCCGGGCTCCCCAATAATTTATTTATCATGTACAGCGTTTTAAAAGGGATTTTTAAACGTTTGTTATTGTGCAATGTTAAAAGTAAATGTAAGTCAAAGATGCAATCTATCCATTTTTGTCTTGCGCAACGCAAATTTTAATTTGTTTTAGTCGAACTTTTATTTTTTATCTTTTTTACATTCCCTCGAAACTGAACGCTCAACTTACTGTCTGGCGAAAGCAATGTTATTTAGTGTCTATTTGGCAACAGGTAAAATAAGCACTGACTAACATGCAATCTAACATGTATAATTCCTGGAAGCATAAAAACCCTGTTGAAAATGACATGCTTATATATATATATATATATATATATATATATATATATATACATGCTAATATTAATATAGAACGAAAGTTTTTTTTTTTCTTTTTCTTTTGAGCAACTGGGATGGTGCCCCCCTGGGAGTTGGTGCCCTACGCAAACTGCGTACTCTGCGTATAGGGAGTGGCGGTACTGCCAGTGGTTTCTACAGTCTACTTGAGAAACCCTGTTGAAAATGACATACTTATATATATATATATATATATATATATATATATATAAACTCTTAACCTTCAACCTTTTGTTTCTACGTCCTTTGGGTAAACCATCAAGCACCCAATAATTCGTAACCTGACTGCGTAATTGCCGTAATTGTATAGTTGCAAGTCTACCTCGTATGCGTTCGGGATGTTGACGGTTTCTCCGTGTTCTGCTACATAACCTATGATGCCTTTTCCCCACGGAACCTGCACCTCGTTTGAGTCCAGAGTGCTTGAAGAGGGTCGCACCGTCGTACCCGAGTGCACATCAAAAAATTTGGACACCAGTGTCCTCTTATGAGACGGTCCCTCCACTAGGAAAAGCGAACACCTGTCTGCGTTTACCATGATGCACACATTGATAAGAATCTTGTAGCTGAGGTTCGGCATGTCAAGTTCGTTAGAAATGTCCTTAACCAGTTCGAGGAAGAACTCCCTCTCGTTGGACTCTTTGAGTCTGTATTTGTAGTCAATAGCGCTGGATGCATATTGAGGCACGTTCACCCGGGACTCGAGCAGCTCGCTCAAGATGTGCGCGGTGGTCGGCGGTAACGAACTGGCTTTCCGCAGGAGTGCGCGCCGTCGCATACTTGACTGAGACTCGTGAGCCGTGAGACTGACTTGCTCATCGTAGGTCCGGTGCGCCGTCATCGCTTTGGACCGGGCGAAGTTCCTGCGGAGCTCCATGTGGGACGATCTGCGCTTTAGCCCATCGGGGTTCGTGGGCCAGAACGGATCCCTCGCGACCCCGCGTTTCTCCTCCACCGGAGAGGTTTTGGACGGCTGATGCTCTTTGAGCCATCTGATCAGGGTGTCACATTTTCCCTTCCTGACGAGATACTCCTCAAAAAGCTCCGGATGGCAATCCAAAAATGCCTCCACGTCCGAAAAATCAAAAGTTGTCATGTCGGTAGTCGAAAAGCCACAGCCAAAGTGTTCAGGAGTCGTTTACAGTAACGCTCAGCTCACTACTGCTGCACACACTTCACACATCCATCTGCCATTTACATATCACTGTTCGCCAGCCTTCCTCATCACAGTCTTTTATGAGGCTCGTGGAGTTGAACAGCGACATAAATAATTAAATGTGACTGATGCGCGATGACGTTTAAATATAATTAGCAGTTTGTTCAAGCAGTTGGCAGGTAAGACGCAGATTTCCTCTGGGAGGGACCTAAATTAACATGAAAGCAAACCAATCGTCATCTGTTGACTGAAAATTAATATTTCTTTTTGTGTGTCTAGTGGAAGTTTAATGAGTCTGTTTTTGTTTCGTGAAGCTCTTTTATGTGATCTGCATGTGTGTGTGTATGTGTGTGAGAAAGAGAGATTATTTTTCAATACCTTCCTTTATTAAACACTTTTAAAGTAGCCCCAGACTGAAAATTATGACTGCTTTCATTTGTCATTAAAGAATCCCTTTAATCTAAGTCTGTTCACATTATGTATATTCCAACAGGATGAAAAGCCCATTTTTTCTGTTTGCACAGTCATAATGAATTGTATATTACAAAAACCTGTGTGAATTAAAATTTGTATTGCTTTATTGTCACCAAAGGGAAATTTGTCTCAGATTCTATGGTGCTGTACACATATGCAAGACATCCTCACACTTCTTCAAATCATTAAGTAAATAAGAGCAGTAAATAATAATACCACATTACATATTTGGCAGATGCCAATGCAACTTGAGTTCATGTATCCATTGGAAATCACACCCATGAGCTTGGCATTGCAATACTGTTTGAACTACAGGAAAACACAAAAATTAAATGCAAACATCCCAAAACAATATTTGCCATAAATTAATACCATACAGAACAGTATATGGACAAATCAAATAACTTGACACAAAATAAATAGGATGAACTTTGCAAAGTTTTTTTTGCAAAAGTGGGACAGTAATTGTAGATTTATAGCAAATTAGTGTGCAGCTTAAATACAATACAATACAATATCATATTTAGAGCATATTTCTTCTATAAAGTGACAAAGAAATCAGTATATGTACCTGCATGCAAATTATGTCAGCTTAAACTGGTTTTTGGAACATAGTAGCTGGTTTGTTACTAGTTCAAGATGGTCTACCAGCCCCAACCAGCTTGATCAGTCTTAAAAAAAGTGTCCCACTTTATAACTGCAGTATATTTGTAATTGACCATTCAATCAGATTTTAAAACCATAATAAAAGTTTAATTTGATTTTTGACTCCTGAATGAAACGCTATGATGATGTCAGACAAATAAAAATATTTTCAGGATGACAAAGATCCTCTTTGCATATGTGCTGTATATAAGAATATGAGGTTTATGTAATTTCACATCTGTTCACCTTTGCATGTCTTCTCTTTCTATACTATTAATTTCAAACACTGACTGACACACACACACACACACACACACACACACACACACAGACCTTCACTTACCCTGAATAAGGCATTATGTGCTTGTTCAGCTTCTTTCATTCCAACAGAACTCTTTCTGACTTTGTTGTTTTTATGCTGTTAAAAACTTTTTTTTTTTTGACAAAGAATTCAGCTGTGAACTGGTTCTGCTTTGAGATAATATATATCCTCAGCTTTAACTCTAGAACTTTCTGGGATCTGTCCAGAGAGCATTTATATGTTTTAATTAACATAAATGTTTCATCCATGGATGTGTAATGCAGACAGGTCTTCAATAAACAATTTTATCAGATTCTGGGATTGTGGTGTAATGCAACACATTAGGCAGGAGATGTTTGCTTATGCTCCATCAAAGAGCCTCCATGGTGTTCCTCTGAGCTTGATAGGTTAATCGCTTAAGCACATTTAAATAGTTTTCTGTGTGCGTTTTAGCCTATACCTGTTAATGTTCATTAGTAAGATGAGGCACTGCTGCAGCCTTGACGTTTAAACCAGCCTCTAATGGCCTGCAGCAGTATATTCTGACACAGGCTAATGAAACCTGTTCTCTATAGTTGAGTATTAACAAGCAACCAAGGGAGTGGGAGTATTACATTAAAGGTGTAATACTGAATATATTGCTCAACACAGTCTTATAAATAAGGCCGGTCAGTGGAAGTGCTTGGCAAGCAGTTGGCGGTGCATCTGGACAGGGTCTGATATATTGATCGGTGCATTCACGTTTTGATTGAACACCACAGGGCAAATATTTATGCAAAGATAGTGAGTGGGAGTTCTTCATCAGGAGTGTACATTTTCGAAAACAACAGGATAGATTAAATGTATGTTTTATGTAATGTACAATATGGGATATAATGAAATGATGTTCATAAAAAGACTGAATTGTGGAAGTGAAGCGTTTCAGGACCATGGACAGCTCTCCTGCTGTTTTAAATGGAGAGCAGCGATGATGAGTTAGTCACTAGGTGGGAATAAATTTAGAAACATAAAGGATATATTAAACAAGCACACGAGTCTTTAAAAATAATTTTCTAGCATTAAAGCTAACTGAATGAACAGTGGAGCTTCTACTCATTATGATGTCAAAATGCAATATGTGACTATTGTGCACAGGTCTGCATTCTTTTTAATCACTTGAAACACAAACACAAAATGAATTAAGCTGACTGTTTTTCAAGAGTAAGGATCATTTTCTCTCTTATTTCTGCTGATATTACACTCAATGGAAAATTAAGGAGAGAGCAAGGCCATGTTTTTTATACTATCAGAATATTTGAGTGTCTTGAGTACAGGCAAATGTAAAATAACTTTAGTAAGCAGAGCTGCATCCATTCCTTCAGTTGAAGTCTCTGTAAAGAAACTTTATGTTTGATTATGCTTAAAATAATGACATAAAAATGAAAAATATTATTTCTAGATTCTTAAAGGAATAGTTCACCCGAAAATGAAAATTTGCTGAAAATCTACCCACCAAGCCATCCAATATGTAGATGAGATTGTTTCTTCATCAAAACAGATTTGGAGAAATTCAGCATTACGTCACTTGCTCTCCAATGGTTCCTCTGCAGTGAATGGGTGCCGTCAGAATGAGAGTTTAAACAGCTGAGTTAGGGTTAGGTTATCTTGTGAAGTGAAAACCTGCATGTTTGTAATAAACAAATCCATCATTAAGACATTTTTAACTTCAAACTTGCTTCCTGTTAAACTACAAGTCCTTTATCCATAATATCACTTTCTCAAGTGAAAAAGTCATGTCATCTGAATCAGGAGAGAAATATGAACAGATCAAGCACGATTTACATGCAAAACTAGTCCAAAAAGTTCTAAAATGGATTATGGACTCATGTTTTGGCCAGAAGCAAGGCAGTTAAAATGTGTTAATGATAGATTTATTACAAATACACAGCTTTTTGTTCACGAGACATTAAATGATGGACTGGAGTTGTGTGGATTACTTGTGGATTTTTGTGAAGTTTTTATCAGCTGTTTGGACTCTCATTCTGACTTATTGAGTGATGTAATGCTACATTTCTCCAATTTGTTCCCAATGAAGAAACAAATTCATTTACATCTTGGATGGCCTGAGGTTTTTTATTTTCTTAGCAAATTTTCATTTTTCATTCAACTCAACACAACTCTCTTGACACTACTTTATTTATAGAGCACTTTCAACACCACAAGTGGAACCAAAGTGCTGTACAGAGAAAGATAAAAGGGAAAATAGAAACAAAAACATAAAATCAATGCAAACATATGACATGCACAGCTTATAAAGCATTTCCAAATGCTAAAGAAAACAAAAAAGTTTTAAGCACACTCTGTTTACACTCAATGTAGGAAAATATTTTACAGACAGAGGAAGGTCATTCCAGAGCCTAGGAGCTGCAACAGAGAATGTCCGATCACCTTTACATTTTAAACGAGATCGCGGAACCATAAGGAGCAATTGATCATTTGAGTGCAGAGATCTACTAGATTGACATAAACTGATTAAATCAGTAACATACTCAGGTGCTAGGCCATGTAGAGCCTTAAAAACATACAACAACACTTTCTGAATTCTGTATCGTATGGGTAACCAATGCAGATTGTTTAACACAGGAGTAATATGCTCTCTCTTCTTAGTACCCGTTAAAAGTCTGGCAGCTGAGTTCTGAACAAGCTGCAAATGAGAGAGAAAGAGGCTTGACTCACCCAGATACAACACATTACAGTAATCCAAACGGGATGACACAAGAGCATGAACAACCTACTCCATATCTTCAAAAGAGAGGATAGACTTAAATTTAGCTATTGATCTAAGATGGAAAAAACTATTCTTAACAACAGCGTTGATTTGCTGGTCAAATTTAAGCTCAGATTCAAAAATGACACCAAGGTTTCCTACGCTAGACAGTTTTTTCTCCCCAAGAAACAACCCCAGGCAACCATAAACACCCTCTACACACTCCTTATTACAAAATAAAATCTCTGTCTTATTCTAATTCAGTTGGAAAAAGTTATTCACCAACCAGCACTTAACCTCAGTCAAACATTCATGCAGGGACTGAATGGCACATTTCTGCCCATGTTTCAGTGGTAAATAAATTTGAGAATCATCCACATACGTATGATAGTGAATCCAAAATTTCTCAAAAATAGAACCTAGAGGAAGCATTTAAAGGGAAAATAAAACTGGTCCTAGAATAGAACCCTTATTAACAATTTTACAATTTTGCACCTCTTAAAACTCAGACTGTATCTTTCACTGACTCTGCACCCTGGTTTACTCCTGAACTCCGCCAGCTAAAAACTAGAGGGCGGCGTTTGGAACGCCTTTATAAACGAACTGGACTTATGATACATAGAGAGCTGTATAAAGAACATGTTCATCTTTATAAGGATGTTCTTTCTGCTGCCAAACATGGACAGGTCTTCAATAAACAATTTTATCAGATTCTGGGATTGTGGTGTAATGCAACACATTAGGCAGGAGATGTTTGCTTATGCTCCATCAAAG